AGACCAGTACAATTGTGCGCCTGGCAACAAAAATATATTAAAAATAGAGCAATTTACACACACACACACACACACACACACACACACACACACACACACACACACACACACACACACACACACACACACACACACACACACATACACACACATACACTCGTACGAGGAAAGGTTGAGGGAAATCGGACTGACGACACTGGAGGACAGAAGGGTCAGGGGAGACATGATAACGACATGCAAGATACTGCGGAGAATAGACAAGGTGGACAGAGACAGGATGTTCCAGAGAAGGGACACAGAAACAAGGGGTCACAATTGGAAGCTGAAGACTCAGACGAGTCATTGGGACGTTAGGAAGTATTTCTTCAGTCATAGAGTAGTCAGGAAGTGGAATAGCCTAGCAAGTGAGGTAGTGGAGGCAGGAACCATACATAGTTTTAAGAAGAGGTATGACAAAGCTCAGGAAGCAGAGAGGGAGAGGCGGGGCCAGGAGGTGAGTACAATTAGGAGAGTACTGCCTCCCCGTCTGATGCTTCGTCTCCTCCTCCAGGAAGGTTCCTCGACGCTGGTGAGGGGGCTCTTGATCTAGGGAATTGGATCTATACTTCAGTTCCTTGAATTGAGCCTGAATGCCTTCCATCCACCCCTTCCCCTACAAGCGCTGCATAATCCCTACGGGTTTAGCATTCCCATGTGATTATAATCATAATAATAATCCTTGTTGTCATAACTCCGTGGTCCATAACCACAGCATCACGGAGTACAGGTACCATGTACAGTAACTGGGTACCATGTACAATAACTGGGTACCATGTACAATAACTGGGTACCATGTACAATAACTGGGTACCATGTACAATAACTGGGTACCATGTACAATAACTGGATACCATGTACAATAACTGAGTACCATGTACAATAACTGGGTACCATGTACAATAACTGGATACCGTGTACAATAACTGGGTACCTTGTACAGTAACTGGGTATCATGCACAGTAACTGGGTATCATGCACAATAACTAGGTACCATGTGCATTAACTAGGTACGATGTACAATAAATGTATACCAGAGCCATGATTACCAAGTCTTTTATACTTAACAAAGACTATAACAAATGCATAACATACATAGCTCTCTAATTTACTAAGTATATAAATCACAACAGCAGGTATATAAACCAACACCAGGTATATAAATCATAGCAGGTATATAAATTATAGCAGGTATATAAATTATAGCAGGTATATAAATCAACACCAGGTATATAAATTATAGCAGGTATATAAATTATAGGGGTCGAAGAGGTATATAAATTATAGGGGTCGAAGAGGTATGGGGTAGGTTTAAAAATGTAGTGTTAGAGTGTTCAGCAGAAGTTTGTGGTTACAGGAAAGTGGGTGCGGGAGGGAAGAGGAGCGATTGGTGGAATGATGATGTAAAGAGAGTAGTAAGGGAGAAAAAGTTAGCATATGAGAAGTTTTTACAAAGTAGAAGTGATGCAAGGAGGGAAGAGTATATGGAGAAAAAGAGAGAGGTTAAGAGAGTGGTGAAGCAATGTAAAAAGAGAGCAAACGAGAGAGTGGGTGAGATGTTATCAACAAATTTTGTTGAAAATAAGAAAAAGTTTTGGAGTGAGATTAACAAGTTAAGAAAGCCTAGAGAACAAATGGATTTGTCAGTTAAAAATAGGAGAGGAGAGTTATTAAATTGGAGAGTTAGAGGTATTGGGAAGATGGAGGGAATATTTTGAGGAATTGTTAAATGTTGATGAAGATAGGGAAGCTGTGATTTCGTGTATAGGGCAAGGAGGAACAACATCTTGTAGGAGTGAGGAAGAGCCAGTTGTGAGTGTGGGGGAAGTTCGTGAGGCAGTAGGTAAAATGAAAGGGGGTAAGGCAGCCCGGGGTTGATGGGATAAAGATAGAAATGTTAAAAGCAGGTGGGGATATAGTTTTGGAGTGGTTGGTGCAATTATTTAATAAATGTATGGAAGAGGGTAAGGTACCTAGGGATTGGCAGAGAGCATGCATAGTTCCTTTGTATAAAGGCAAAGGGGATAAAAGAGAGTGCAAAAATTATAGGGGGATAAGTCTGCTGAGTATACCTGGTAAAGTGTATGGTAGAGTTATTATTGAAAGAATTAAGAGTAAGACGGAGAATAGGATAGCAGATGAACAAGGAGGCTTTAGGAAAGGTAGGGGGTGTGTGGATCAGGTGTTTACAGTGAAACATATAAGTGGGAACAGTATTTAGATAAGGCTAAAGAGGTCTTTGTGGCATTTATGGATTTGGAAAAGGCGTATGACAGGGTGGATAGGGCGGCAATGTGGCAGATGTTGCAAGTGTATGGTGGTAGGAGGTAGGTTACTGAAAGCAGTGAAGAGTTTTTACGAGGATAGTGAGGCTCAAGTTAGAGTATGTAGGAAAGAGGGAATTATTTCCCAGTAAAAGTAGGCCTTAGACAAGGATGTGTGATGTCACCGTGGTTGTTTAATATATTTAAAAGATGGGGTTGTAAGAGAAGTAAATGCGAGGGTCTTGACAAGAGGCGTGGAGTTAAAAGATAAAGAATCACACACAAAGTGGGAGTTGTCACAGCTGCTCTTTGCTGATGACACTGTGCTCTTGGGAGATTCTGAAGAGAAGCTGCAGAGATTGGTGGATGAATTTGGTAGGGTGTGCAAAAGAAGAAAATTAAAGGTGAATACAGGAAAGAGTAAGGTTATGAGGATAACAAAAAGATTAGGTGATGAAAGATTGAATATCAGATTGGAGGAGAGAGTATGGAGGAGGTGAATGTATCAGATATTTGGGAGTGGACGTGTCAGCGGATGGGTCTATGAAAGATGAGGTGAATCATAGAATTGATGAGGGAAAAAGAGTGAGTGGTGCACTTAGGAGTCTGTGGAGACAAAGAACTTTGTCCTTGGAGGCAAAGAGGGGAATGTATGAGAGTATAGTTTTACCAACGCTCTTATATGGGTGTGAAGCATGGGTGATGAATGTTGCAGCGAGGAGAAGGCTGGAGGCAGTGGAGATGTCATGTCTGAGGCAATGTGTGGTGTGAATATAATGCAGAGAATTCGTAGTTTGGAAGTTAGGAGTAGGTGCGGGATTACCAAAACTGTTGTCCAGAGGGCTGAGGAAGGGTTGTTGAGGTGGTTCGGACATGTAGAGAGAATGGAGCAAAACAGAATGACTTCAAGAGTGTATCAGTCTGTAGTGGAAGGAAGGCGGGGTAGGGGTCGGCCTAGGAAAGGTTGGAGGGAGGGGGTAAAGGAGGTTTTGTGTGCGAGGGGCTTGGACTTCCAGCAGGCATGCGTGAGCGTGTTTGATAGGAGTGAATGGAGACAAATGGTTTTTAATACTTGACGTGCTGTTGGAGTGTGAGCAAAGTAACATTTATGAAGGGGTTCAGGGAAACCGGCAGGCCGGACTCGAGTCCTGGAGATGGGAAGTACAGTGCCTGCACTCTGAAGGAGGGGTGTTAATGTTGCAGTTTAAAAACTAGTGTAAAGCACCCTTCTGGCAAGACAGTGATGGAGTGAATGATGATGAAAGTTTTTCTTTTTCGGGCCACCCTGCCTTGGTGGGAGTCGGCCAGTGTGATAATAAAAAAAATAATAATAATATAAATTATAGCAGATATATAAATTATAGCAGGTATATAAATTATAGCAGGTATATAAATCATAACACCAGATATATAAATCTCCAAAATTCACTTACAACATTATACTTATGAACAGCTTACCAAACAATATTTCTAACGTCTACCTTAATATCTAGAAATATTGGACAAGTGTAAGAAAGAGAGAGAGAGAACCTTGACTGGTTTTCCTGAACTTCATGTATTACTTATGTAAGTGATCATCTTGAAGTATCCACAATCATCAGCTTCCTTATTACACCAGATCACCAGCACGCAAACTCTCTCCCTCTCTCCCCTCCCTCTCTCCCCTCCCTCTCTCCCCTCCCTCTCTCTCCCCTTCCTCTCTCCCCTCCCTCTCTCCCCCCTTCCTCTTCTCCCCTCCTCTCTCTCCCCTTCCCTCTCTCCCTCCCTTTTCTCCCCCTTCCTCTCTCCCCTCCCTCTCTCTCCCCTTCCTCTCTCCCCTCCCTCTCTCTCCCCTTCCTCTCTCCCCTCCCTCTCTCTCCCCTTCCTCTCTCCCCTCCCTCTCTCTCCCCTTCCTCTCTCCCCTCCCTCTCTCAAAATGTAATAATGTTGGACAATTATCGACAATGTGTTGGGTAAAAGAATAAACACATGTGCAAGTAATACTTGGAGTATACCTGGAGAGGGTTCCGGGGGTCAACGCCCCCCCCCGGCCCGGTCTGAGACCAGGCGATATTTTTACTGTGGCATCGTTTCGCCCTCCAGGAGCCTTGGCAAAGCTCCTGGAGAGCGAAACGTTGCCGCAGTAACATGTCACGTTAGCTGCTCATGTGTCCTTTTACCTAACAGTCTGAGAGTAAACAATGATTTATTTGTAGTGTACTTGAAGACCTGAACGGGTTGTGCAGCTTAAAAAGTTGTGAAGGCTGGAGATGGACACACTACCGATATACTTACCTATCAAACCACGATACGGGTGGGGTTTGAACTCGCGGCAAGTGAGTCGTAAAACTTCAGGCCATCGTGTAAGCCACTGAGCCAGCTGGCTACAACATTCATCTATGGTTCCCACTGGGACCAATGCTAACCTTCCTATGGTGTATAAATATTCCTAGTTGGATGAATCTTATGACTTATGAATCTTATGGCTTGCGCGCTGGCCTGGAGTTTTAAGACTCGCTTGCCGCGAGTTCAATTCCCACCCGTACCTTGGTTTGTTTGCAATCGTGTCATTACGATTTCATGTGTTATTTACCTATTTATTTGCGTGTTTTCTGTAATAACCATGAATCTGTAGGTATTTTTATAGGCTATAGTGATAATGTTTTTATTAATCTTGTGGTGAGGTAATGTTGCTAACTGTATCTTGGCGTCTTTCCGCAGGTGTGAGGAGAGAAGTGAGGCGGGGCCAGCCTTCCCGTGCACCTCTTGCCTCAGAGGCGCAGCCTGCACTCAGTGCACACACAAACTCAATAACATCATGGGATGCTTCCTAAAGAAGTTCGACAACTTCCTCAATCGGTCGTTCTACAAATTAGGATTCACGATTGCTAACCACTACGGCTACTTCATCATTGTTCCTGTCTTCTTATCTGCCATCTTAGCCACCGGGTTCCAGAGAATTAAATACGAGGATGATCCTGAGTACTTGTTTTCCCCCACCACGGGCTTCGCTAGGAACGAGCGAGCTATTATAGAAGAAAACTTCTTTCTCAACTTCAGTTCGGACTTCCATCCGTCACGAATAACACGGACGGGACGCTTTGCTAGACTCATTATCACAGCCAAGGACGAGGGTACCCTGCTACGAGCACACGTCTGGGATGACATGATTAAACTAAACCAGCTAGTGCACTCTGTCAGTGTTGACCTGGAAAATGACAGACACGTTAGATATGACGATCTCTGTGCTATATGGGACAGCAAGTGCTACGAGAACAACGTACTGGGTCTGCAAGATTTTATGCCGCGTATCGAGAACGGCACTTTCAACCTGACCTACCCTCTTATGCTCAACCCCACCACCTTCGAAACCTACGTGTTCCCTCATTTCTTCGGCGGCACGGTGCTCACCAACGACAGCATGGTGGTGAGCGTGAAGGCTCTCTCTATCTTCTACTGGCTCAAGACCAACACCGCCAAGCAGGACGCAGAGTAAGTTTCAAGGCTCCACTTTATGCACTGAAGCAATTCTCTATATATGTACGTGTATGTATGCAATAAAATCACAGATAGGTGATCTTAATAATTCAAGACAAGGGGGATGGAAATCTTCAACTCAAAATCTTTCACACGTCATCGTGCGTCATCAGGAGCTATGCCATGTTGCAAGAGGAAGTTTTCTCATAGTAAGGTAACGTTACCTTTCTGTAAGAAGACTTCCTCTCATTCCACCAATTGCTACTCTTGCAGCATTGTATAGCTCCTGATGATGCACGGAGATGTGTGAAAGATCTTGAGCTGGAGATTTCCATGCCCCGTGGCTTGTCTTGCATGTATAAGAACATAACATAAAAAAGAAGGAACACTGCAACAGGCCTACTGGCCTATGCAAGGCAGGTCCAATTATCCCACCGGCTTAAGCCAATGCCTTGACCTAGTGAGGTTAGACACGTCACTTAAGGGAGGAGCACGGCATCCGACCTAGTAGCACAAGCTAGTCAGGTTCAACTCACACACACCCACACCCACTCATGTATTTATACAACCTATTTTTAAAACTACACAACGTCTTAGCTTCTATGACGGTACTCGGGAGTTTGTTCCACTCATCAACAACTCTATTACCAAACCAGTGCTTTCCTATATCCTTCCTGAATCTGAATTTTTCCAAATTTAAAACATTACTGCGGGTCCTATGTTAGATATTTTCAGCACGCTATTTACATCCCCTTTATTAATTCCTGTTTTCCATTTATATACCTCAATCATATACCCCCTAATTCTACACCTTTCTAGAGAGTGCAGATTCAGGGACCTCAGTCTATCCTTATAGGGAAGATTTGTGATACATGGGATCAACTTTGTCATCCTCCTCTGTAAGTTTTCCAGAGCATTTATATCCATTCTGTAATACGGTGACCAAAACTGTGCAGCATAATCTAGATGAGGCCTAACTAAAGATATTTCGAACTGAACAACAACCTGAGGACTTGTAATATTTATACTTCTTGCTATGAAGTCAAAGATTCTGTTAGCTTTATTGCGAACACTTATGCACTGTTATACATGTGTTTTTTAGGGAGTTTATTCTCTTATTTCAGTCACGAAAATCACTAGACTGATGTTAATAAAACATTCACAAGTTGCTCTGCTATGATGGCAGACGTCTTAGACCAGAGCAATGTAAAAAAAAATATTAAAGTTAGCCTAATATTTAACATTTTTTGTAAGTTTTAGATATATCTAAATGGCTAAAGAAAACTGCGTAAAAATTATGGTATAGGTTTAAAAAAATTAAATATCTGTTTATCAGTGTGATAAACCAATTTCTTAGTGATTCAGTATAGTGTAATACTGAAAAATATATTACAAAATGGGAAACTACAAACTACAAAACCATTAAAAATTTAATTTTCTTCTTAAAAACAAAAATAATAAAAATTTGAAATCGACCAGAAGAGGCATTCCCTAGTTATCACACAGAATCCAATTCTAAGATTTATAACAATGTTAGTATATTCACAGATTGGCACCAACACAGGTTAAACATATGGGGAATCATCCTCGTCAAACTTTTAACATCAATTCGACAAAGTTTGAAACCGATCAGAAGAGGCATTCTCAAGTTATGCACAGACAGTACTTGCATGGCCCTTTGTTTACGTAGTTACTTGCATGGCCCTTTGTTTACGTAGTTACCAGCATTAAAACTCTCAAGTTAATTGACTGAATCTCGAGTTAGAACCGGAAATCTTGGAAAAAAAAAAATGAGAGTCAGCGAACGTAAGGTATCCCTTCAGAGATTCTCAGTAATCCTACTGCCTATTTATCTGCTTTCTTGAACTACAGTATTATATGTAATAATTGTAATAGTTTTTTTCTACAAAAACGTGATACTATTTACAAAGACCTAGCTGACATCAGTGATATAGAGAAAGTCCCTGGTTATGTGGAGCATTTCGGACAACATAGGTTAATTTTGTCCCCCAGGATGCGACCCACGCCAGTCGGCTAACACCCAGGTACCTACTTGCTGCTAGGTGAACAAGGACAGCAAGTGTAAGGAAACATGTCCAGTGTTTCCACCCATACCGGGGAATCGAACCACGGACACTCAGTGTGTGTGAGCCGAGCTACCAACCGAATATATGAATCAGTTTAAGTGCCTGAGCTTTGCTCAGACATCTACAACAACAATTATCCTCAAACATGTGATAGTAATTATGGACAAGGTAGATTATAGTGGAAAAGTGAACATGTTATTAGAAGACGGGGGAACTTACGTGGCTCTTAAAAAGCGTGGCGAAGTCTCCTTAAACCTTCTGAAACAGTCGAACTAGCGGTTAATAGGTACCTGGGTGTTAGTCGACTGTTGTAGGTGGACTAATGGGCGTTAGTATACCTTAGATAGTAGGACTGGATTTTTAAATGAGCTGAAGGAGGATAACAGCACTTACCTTGTAACTTGTATACTGTTTGAAAATATTGTAGATGTTGATTGTCTAGTACAGGATGTGTGTAGATGTTGATGTTCTGGTGTAGAATGCGCGAGTCTAGTACAGGATGTGTGTAGATATTGATGTTCTGGTGAAGGAAGTGTAGATGTTGATGTCCTAGTGTAGGGTGTAAGAATGCATGTATTATTACTGTTATCTGGTTCATTAACCGGTTCTCTCTTCACTTCTCTTCCCTGCCCTCTCCCTCTCCACCACCGCCACCAGTGCATCACTGTGGGAGGAAGCACTACTGAAGGAGATGGACAATCGCGACTTCGGCAGCATCTCCGTGGCGAGGTTTGTCTCGCGGACTCTGGAGACGGAGCTGGAAAACAACACCAACTCAGTAGTGCCCTTCATTGGCGTTACCCTCACCATCATGATATTATTCAGCGTGTGTTCCGTCATGATGGGTGACTGGGTGCGCACCAAACCCTGGCTTGGATTTCTTGGCGTCATCTCGGCCAACCTCGCCTGCGCCGCCTCCTTCGGCTTCCTAATCTACCTCGGGGTAGAATTCATCGGTATCAACATGGCCTCGCCCTTCCTCATGTTAGGTGAGTACTCCTTCAATAGGTACCCATTTTCTATGTGGTTTATAGGGCCACTCACAGCTAACGCCGTATCGAATCCATCCGTTATTTATTTTTTTTTTTTTTTTTTTTGGGAGGGGGGATTATTCATTGTCTTCTACAATTTTCATTAACAAATTCTTGTTTTCTTTTATGTGCTTTCTTCATTAAATGCATCTATTTTCTTTTAAAATTTCCCATTTCCTATTTTTACAAGTTCTCAATTACTTTAATAATATTGATTTTTATCTTGATTACTGAATTTTCGTCATCCATTTTCTTATTATTTATCCTGATCGCTTTTTCCCGGACCATTACAATGATACTCGTGTATGTCTGTCCTGGGGTTAGTCTGTCCTGGGGTTAGTCTGTCCTGGGGTCATTAACATACGTACTCTTTCATGGACTTAAGAACATCTCCCACAATTCATGTACATGCTGGGACGTCCATGTACGTACGTGTATGGTGGTATAAAGTACTGGTGTCAGTGTCTGGTGGTGTAAAGTACTGGTGTCAGTGTCTGGTGGTGTAAAGTACTGGTGTCAGTGTCTGGTGGTGTAAAGTACTGGTGTCTGTCTGTTGGTGTAAAGTACTGGTGTCAGTGTCTGGTGGTGTAAAGTACTGGTGTCAGTGTCTGGTGGTGTAAAGTACTGGTGTCAGTGTCTGGTGGTGTAAAGTACTGGTGTCAGTGTCTGGTGGTGTAAAGTACTGATGTCAGTGTCTGTTGGTGTAAAGTACTGGTGTCAGTGTCTGTTGGTGTAAAGTACTGGTGTCAGTGTCTGTTGGTGTAAAGTACTGGTGTCAGTGTCTGGTGGTGTAAAGTACTGGTGTCAGTGTCTGGTGGTGTAAAGTACTGGTGTCAGTGTCTGGTGGTGTAAAGTACTGGTGTCAGTGTCTGGTGGTGTAAAGTACTGGTGTCAGTGTCTGGTGGTGTAAAGTACTGGTGTCAGTGTCTGGTGGTGTAAAGTACTGGTGTCAGTGTCTGGTGGTGTCAGTGTCTGGTGGTGTAAAGTACTGGTGTCAGTGTCTGGTGGTGTAAAGTACTGGTGTCAGTGTCTGGCAAGAAAGATAATATACTCTTGGAAATTCCTAGAGGGATCGGTACTAAGTTTTCACAGGAAAATCAATCCCTATGAAAGCAAAGGACTCGGCAGGAGATGCAACATCACCCCAATGAAAAGTAGGGGTGCCACGAGTGCCTGGAGTATACCTGGAGAGGGTTTCGGTGAGTCAACGCCCCCTCGGCCCAGTCTGTGACCAGGCCTCAGGGTGGATCAGTGCTTGATCAACCAAGCTGTTATTATTAGCCGCAAACCGATGTATGAACCACAGCCCGGCTGGTCAGGTACTGACTTTAGGTGTCTGTCTAGTGCCTTCTTGAAGACAACCAGGGGTCTGTTGGTACTCTCCCTTATGTATGCTGGGAGGCAGTTGAACAGTCTTGGGCCCATGACACTTATTGTGTTGTCTCTTATCATGCTAGTGGCACCCCTGTTTTTCATTGGGGGCATGTTGCATCGTCTACCGAGTCTTTTGCTTTCATAGGGAGTGATTTTCGTGTGCAAATCCCTCTAGGATTTTCCAAGTGTATATAATCATGTATCTCTCCCGCCTGCGTTCCAGGGAGTACAGGTTTAGGAACCTCAAGCGCTCCCAGTAATTGAGGTGTTTTATCTCCGTTATGCACGCCGTGAAGGTTCTCTGTACATTTTCTAGGTCAGCAATTTCACCTGCCTTGAAAGGTGCTGTTAGTGTGCAGCAATATTCCAGCCTAGATAGAACAAGCGACCTGAAGAGTGTCATCATGGGCTTGGCATCCCTAGTTTTGAAGGTTCTCATTATCCATCCTGTCATTTTTCTAGCAGATGCGATTGATACAATGTTATGGTCCTTGAAGGTGAGATCCTCCGACATGATCACTCCCAGGTCTTTTACATTAGTTTTTCGCTCTATTGTGTGGTTGGAATTTGTTTTATACTCCGATATAGTTTTAATTTCCTCGCATTTTCCTTATCGGAGTAATTGAAATTTCTCATCACTGAACTTCATATTGTTTTCTGAGGCCCATTTAAAGATTTGGTTGATGTCCACCTGGGGTCTTGCAGTGTCTTCAAGAGACAACACAATGAGTGTAAGGGACCCAAGACTGTTCAACTGCCTCCCAGTATACCATTTGACCCCTGGCTGTCTTCAAGAAGAGGCACCTAAAGTCAGTACCTGACCAGCCGAGCTGTGGTTCGTACGTTGGTCTGTGTGTGGCCAGCAGTAACAGCCTGGTTGATCAGGCCCTGATCCACCACGATGGCTGGTCACAAACCGGACCGCGGGGGCGTTGACCCCCGAAACCCTCTCCAGGTATACTCCAAGTATACATGTGAGCTGACACATGTGTCAACACGCTAAGCGTGGGAGTGTAGTGTAGTCAGGTCACATATCAAGTGAAATTTGATGAGTGACTTGTCTGGCATAACTTATATTCTTCACAAATTCGGTTAATTATAAAAGAATCTAATTTATATAACCCTGAACTAATATTCATATTGAAATGATTACTATTTATGTAACTTTATTCAGTTATATTTCGCTCACCAGAGTTCTCTTTGAGAGTAAATGTGGGTGTGGGAGAAGTGAGGGAGGGAGTGTGGGTGGGTGGGTGTGGATAGAGTAAAAGTGGGTGAGTGTGGGTGGGAAGGGAGTGTGGATTGGTGAGGAGAGTGTGGGTGGGGAGATCGTGTGTGGGTGGGTGAGGAGATTGTCGGTGGGGGTGTGTGGGTGGGTGAGAAGTATGGGTGGGTTGGGGAGTGTGGGTGGGAATAGTGTGTGGTTGGGGTGAGGGAGTGTTGGTGGGTGGGAAGTGTAAGGGAGTGCGGGTGGAGGAGAGTGTGGTGGAGTGTGGGTGGGGGAATGTTGGTGGATAATTGGAGTGTGTGTGGGTGGGGAAGTGTGTGGGTGGGTGGGGAGAGTGTGGGTAGGTGGGGGAGAGTATGGGGGTAGTTTGGGTGGGTGGGGGAGTGTGGGGGTAGTTGGGTGGGTGGGGAAAGTATGGGGGTAGAGTGGGTGGGGAGTGTGGGTGGGGTGGGAGAGAGTGTGGGTGGGTGGGGGAAAGTATGGGGGTTGTGTGAGTGGGTGGAGGAGTGTGGTTGGGTGGGGGAGAGTGTGGGTGGGTGGGGGGGAGTGTGTGGGTGGGTGGGGGGAGTGTGGGTGGGTGGGGGGAGTGTGGGGTGGGAGGGGGAGAGTGTGGGTGGAAGGGGGAGAGTATTGGTAGGTGGGGGAGTGTGTGGGTGGGAGGGGGAGAGTGTGGGTAGGTGGGGGAGAGTGTGGGTGGGAGGGGGAGAGTGTGGGTGGGTGGGGAAGAGTGTGGGTGGGTGGGGGAGAGTGTGGGTGGGAGGGGGAGGAGAGTGGGTGGGTGGGGGAGAGAGTGGGTGGGTGGGGGAGAGTGTGGGTGGGTGGGGGAGAGTGTGGGGTGGGAGGAAGAGAGTGTGGGTGGGAGGGGGAGAGTGGGGTGAGTGGGGGAGATGTGGGTGGGTGGGGGAGAGTGTGGGTGGGAGGGGAGGAGTGGGTGGGGGGAGAGTGTGTGGGTGGGGATGGGGGGGTGGGAGAGTGTGGTGGGAGGGGGAGAGTGTGGGTGGGGTGGGGAGAGTGTGGGTGGGTGGGGAGAGAGTGGTGGGTGGGGAGAGTGTGGGTGGGTGGGGGAGGAGTGTGGGTGGGTGGGGGAGAGTGTGGGTGGGGGGGTGTGGGTGGTGGGGAGTGTGGGTGGGTGGGGAGAGTGTGGGTGGGTGGGGGGAGTGTGGGTGGAGGGGAGAGAGTGGGTGGGTGGGGAGAGTGTGGGGTGGGTGGGGGGAGAGTGTGGGGGGGGGGGGGGAGTGTGGGTGGGTGGGGGAGAGTGTGGGTGGGTGGGGGGAGAGTGGGGTGGGTGGGGGAGAGTGTGGGTGGGTGGGGGAGATGTGGTGGTGGGGAGTGGGGTGGGGGGGGAGAGTGTGGGTGGGTGGGGAGAGTGTGGTGGGTGGTGGGAGAGTGTGGGTGGGTGGGGGAGAGTGTGGGTGGGTGGGGGGAGTGTGGGTGGGAGGGGGAGAGTGTGGGTGGTGGGGAGTGTGGGGGGGAGGGGGAGAGTGTGGGTGGGTGGGGGAGAGTGGTTGGGTGGGTGGGGGAGAGTGTGGGTGGGTGGGGAGTGTGGGTGGGTGGGAGAGTGTGGGTGGGTGGGGGAGAGTGTGGTGGGTGGGGGGAGTGTGGGTGGGTGGGGGAGAGTGTGGGTGGTGGGGGAGAGTGTGGTGGGTGGGGAGTGTGGGTGGTGGGGAGTGTGGGTGGGTGGGGGAGAGTGTGGCGTGGGTGGGGAGAGTGTGGGTGGGTGGGGTGAGAGTTGTGGGTGGGTGGGGGAGTGTGGGTGGGAGGGGGAGAGTGTGGGTGGGTGGGGGAGAGAGTGTGGGTGGGTGGGGGGGGGAGTGTGGGGGGTGGGGGGAGTGTGGGTGGGTGGGGGGTGTGGGTGGGTGGGGATGTGTGGGTGGGAGGGGGAGAGAAGTGTGGGGTGGGTGGGGGAGAGTGTGGGTGGGTGGGGGAGAGTGTGGTGGGGGGGGGAGTGTGGGTGGGTGGGGGGAGAGTGTGGGTGGGTGGGGGAGAGTGTGGGTGGGTGGGGGAGAGTGTGGGTGGGTGGGGGAGAGTGTGGGTGGGTGGGGGAGAGTGTGGGTGGGTGGGGGAGTGTGGGTGGGTGGGTGGGAGGTGAAGTGTGGGTGGGGGGGGGAGTGGTGGGTGGGGGAGAGTGTGGGTGGGTGGGGGAGAGTGTGGGGTGGTGTGGGTGGGGGGGAGAGTGTGGGTGGTGGGGGAGAGTGTGGGTGGGTGGGGGAGAGTGTGGGTGGGTGGGGGAGAGTGTGGGTGGGTGGGGGAGAGTGTGGGTGGGTGGGGGAGAGTGTGGGTGGGTGGGGGAGAGTGTGGGTGGGTGGGGGGAGTGTGGGTGGGGGGGGAGAGTGTGGGTGGGTGGGGGAGGTGTGGG